CAAAGGAGTTCACTAAATAGTCCCTGCCTGTTTTACCTTTTTTTTTTTTTAACAGTAATTCTGGGAAAGTCAAAGAGACCCACTTGCTTCAGGCATCCCTGCAGTCCTACATCCATGCTGGAATGCCCTTGCCAGCAGCAGCACCTTCAGCCCTGATTAGCTTTAACCACCTAACCTCTGTCTGCACTGCCTGGCCCAGAACAGCTAGAGCACAGCCTGAAATAGGATGGGGTCCCTCATGAGTCACGCTGCTAAACTCGGGGTACTCAGGCATCACAAATCCCACCAGCTTTGCTGCACAAGAGGAGTAGCTAAGGCCCTTCCCAGCATTAACACATGACATTATTGCAGAGTTGATGGGCTGGCAATGAAAGATTTAGGCCAAACACTGTGCCCAAATGGGCTCTCGTGTGGGGTGACACAAGCTCCAGCCCTCTCTTTTGCTGTGTGAGCTGAACATGAGCGTCTCTTTAAACCAGTTGGGCACAAGGTGAGCATGATCTCAAAGAGCTGCTGAAAAGCAGTCTATTAATACCCTCCGTGGTGTTTGAACCATACAGTAACCTTATGGTCACAGAGAGCACTTACGAAGTATTACAGCTCACTATTCTTAGATGAGTACACTGTAGATTCAGAACTGTCAGAGCACTGAAACCCACAGCAGAATCTAAACCCAGCAGGAAGACACAGGCTAGCATGAAGATAAAAACAGCAGTGATGAATGTGATCCAGCTTCACACAACACTGAAGATTCCCTTTTGCAGGAAATTCCTGAGGGTCTCAGTGAGTGCAGTTGCAGCGAATGTTTTATTTTTAAGGTGTTATTTTGGGATTACTTCACTGTATTGATATGCTGTTTATCCAAATGGAAAGATGCAGTGTCTTACAAGAACCTCAGCCTTGCTGGAGCAAATCCAGGTGCCTGCTTTATTTCAACTTGTTTTCACTATGATGAAGTTAAAGGGGCACTGTTAGTCTAAATATCACTTGTCGTAAATGTTTTCAGCAATACGATTACCAGTTACTCCCAAGATCTGTAAAGTTTGGAGCATATATGATATATATAGTTGTGAACTTTGAACCAGCTGAATTTAAAATGTTTCTCCTTGTTTTCTTCTGCTGGTTTGTGTATCTCACGGTTTGATCAAAATCTCTATATAATAGACTCTACTTCAAGCACGTATTTAGAGAACCTGTCACACAGATGTAAATAATCCTAAAGAGCCTTTCAGTTGAGATTTCTGACCTCTCCCTTCTCCCCTCACCCCCCCCAAAAAAAAAACCAGCCTACAAAATTATTCCTAAATGTATTGATTGGCCTTCACTGTATATTCAATCCAATGTCACCTCTTGTGCTTTCCACAAGTAGTAGGTTATTTTGCCAGTAATTTCAGAAACCTTCTGTAAAGCTTGGGTCATCTCAGGCAAAGGTGCTTATTTACAGTTATGTCTGTAGATGAAATTGTGCAACTGAAACCTTCTCCTATTAGTGAAATGTGCTGCTCAAATTATTCCCATTAACCCAGGAAGAAGATAGATAAGTTGAGTGAGACTGACCTCGTGTAACTGTAGGCATCTGCAGTTTAACCCCTCCAACCAGACAATGGAAGGAAATGAGCATTTGTAAAGGACAATTACCTGGCCTACTTTAGGATGTAATAAATCAGGGCTGCAAAGGGAACCAACAGTGGTCATGTCTGGCTTGTAGTTGTTCTTATTTGGGCAAAGGAATTCTCTCTAAGGGTACAGAGATCCACTGCATCATGCTGTTGACAACATTTCTGCCAAGACAAGAAGGGTATTGTGTACATTCAGCTGTCAGTTCTCCTGCTTAGAAATCTTTTTCATACGATGAACAACTGAGTTTGACTCCTCATAGGTTTCCTTTAAGAGCTGAGTCAAAGCATCGTTCTTCTGAAAACTGGGACTAAGTGCCTCCCCCCAGCATCCTTGTATCCACAGTCTTGGAAAACTAAACATTCTCTCTGGGTGACCTCATCTTATGGTGTAACATTTCTGAGGCCAATGTGTGGCATTCCCCTTCCTGTCATCACAGCTCCCAGTCATGGGACAGCTACTGTATTCATATCACAGTACTACAGTGAGATTGAACGTGCTCTCACACTTGTTGCACAGATCAGGGACCAAGACAGCAAAGAGCTTTCCTGTAGTGATGCAGAGAGTAAGGGCAGAGATGGGGACAGAACTTGCTCTCCAAAGTCACTGCTCACGCCCTCATTACTCCATCATTCTTGCCTTCAAAACTGTCTTTGAAGGGTTAGAGAGTATCTTCACACTGAACTTCTTCCTCCCACATTTAAAAAGATCTTTGGGAAATGGGGCACCTGTGTGTAGGGTTCTCTGTCCCACACAAGTAAAAGGGAGCCTGCTGAATAGATGCCATGACATGGGGAGCTCCAGCCCTCTTCTGCTGCATTACATCAGCAGTGAGCAATGGGAGGACTCATTTGAGCCAATTGTGGGTTGTCATTCTTCCTTCCAGACTCAGTGGCCTCTGAAATCACTCCATTGTCTGCAGCAGAATCTGGCACAGGCCCATAATGCCAGGTTACTTCACTTCCCTGCAGAATAAAAGATTTCTTCAACCATGAGAAATTATCTCCTGACAGTGCTATTCATTAGGACTCCCACCTGTAGACTGTTTCATTTTCAGCTTACTCGCAAGGTGGTGAAAAGTCAGCATGTGTGTTATCACTTGACAATATAGTGCAGCTAATACCTCTTCACCCTTACACATGTTGTCACTTATTGCTCTTTGCCTCAACAATGGCTCACAGTAATGCTGAGATCTTGGACTTCACCCTCTCTTTCACTGCGCAATTTCTCCAGAACTCTCGTTTCTTAGGAATTGTACACACAGAAAAAAATATCTGCAATTTGTTCATTTTTGTTAATTCTTTTGAATTGGAAAGTTAAAGCATTATATTTTTGTTTGAATGAATTGCCTAAACACTGGTTTCCAAACTTATCTAAGATGTCTTACTGCACCCCAGCTGACTTTCAGCTGGTGCTGAAGCTGGGTTTCTGCTGGGGATATCTGGCCTCTACCTCTGGTTGTCATTCTCTCATCCTTTGTAGCTGAGAAACACCTGTCTGAGTACTGATGATTTTTGTACCTCTTGCACTTTGCAGCCATCTCTTAATATCTTTTTGCACGCTAAGCAGGGTTGGTGCATGCCCCAAGTAAAAGCAAATTTAAAAATCCATTCCTAAGACTTTCTGCTCCCCTAACAGCCCAGCTCCTCACATAGGGCCAGTGCTTGGAGCAGGGCTTCAGGCTTCACCGGCCCTTTGTGAAAGTCTCAGCAAGGAGAAGAGATCAGCAGAAGGAAGCAAATCAACTGGTTCCTGCAAAATTTATATTTCCTTTCTGGGGCAGCGGCCATCATCTGGGAATTTTGGCAAAAGCCTTCACGGATTATTCTCTCGGAGCTAAAACACATTGCAGGATTTTTGCCTTCTTGGCTCCAGCTCCTACTTTTCCTGCCAGGTATCATTATAAGGATTCAAGCAGGATGAGCAATTAAAACCCATAAAAAGAATGTGTCTGACTATTAAAGTCAAATATCTGATGAGGAAATGGAGGTGACAGACTGCAGAGCTCCTGGACAATGTGCTTCCGTGAGGGGGATCTCCCAGGGCTGGGGTGCACGGAGAAGTGATGTGCTGTACCAGGGACCCGAGGTGCTTGGTGACATGAGGGGATCCCAAAAAGCCATCACCCCACCCCAAAACTGGGGTGGCATTCAGTCCAACTGAGGCTGAGGCCACCATAGCACCACAACCTTGGGACTAAAATGAAACATAAAATCATTACGGTTGGAAAAGACCAATAAGATCATCTAGTCCAACCATCAACCCATGCTGCCCTATCCCACATCCCACAGTGCCACATCTCCACATTAATCTTGAAAACCACCAGGGACAGTGACTCCACCACCTCCCTGGGCAGCCTGTGCCAATACCTCACCACTCTTCTGGAGAATAAATTTTTCAACCTGAACCTCCCCTGGTGTAACCTGAGGCCATTCTTTCTCATCCAATTGCTGTTATGTGGGAGAAGATGCTGAGCCCCACCTCACCACAACCTTTCAGGGAGCTGTAGGGAGCGATAAGGTCCCCTGAGCCTCCTCTTCTCCAAACTGAACGATCTCAGCTCCTTCAGCCATAAGACTTGTGCTCCAGACTCTTCACAGCTTTGTTGCCCTTCTCTGGACACGTTCCAGGGCTTCAATGTCTTTCTTGTAGTGAGGGGTCCAGAACTGAACACAATACTCGAGGTGCAGCATCACCAGAGCTGAGTACGGAGGGACCATCACCTCCCTGCTCCTGCTGACTGTGCTATTGCTGACCCAAGCCAGGATGCCATTGGCTTTCTTGGCCACCTGGGCACAGTGCTGGCTCACATTCAGCCAACTGTCAGCGAACATCCCCAGCTCCATTTCTTCCACACAGGCTTCCAGCCACTGCTCCCCAAGCCTGCAGAAATCAGTAGGGCTGTTGTAACTGAAATGCAGGACACAGCGCGGAGAAGGGACCCACCAGTCAGGGACCCCAGGCACTTGTTGCTTTGCTGGGGCTCCTGCAGAGCCACCACCACACCCCAAAGCCTCTCACTCCAGGACATGGGTGACCACAGTCCCTCAGCCAGCACAGCAGCACCGCACTGGGACTAAAACCAGCAGTGAGCGGGGGAAAAGAAAAAGAAAAAAAAAAAAAGTAGAAGAAAAAAAAAAAAAAAAAGAAGGCGTTTCTCTTCAGGAAACGAATAAAAACAGCAGCACGAGGGTAAAAAGTAGAGCGGCGGCGCCCCGCGGGAGAAGCGTGCAGGCGAAGCGCGGCGCAGCGCGCCGGGCCCCAGCCTCGCCCGCTCGGGCAGAGGGCGCCTGCGCCGCCGGGAGCGCTGCGGAGCGGCAGAGCGGAGCGCGGCGGCCGCGGGAACCACCTGCGGGAGGCGCCGCTCCGCCCCGCCCCGCACGGAGCGCGCCGCTGAGTGAGGGCCGGCGGCCCCCCGAGCCCCGAGGAGGCGGCGGGAGGGATGGGAGAGGCTGCGTCGCCGCCGCCAGCACCGCCCGCCTGAGCGGCTCCCGCAGACGTCGCGGGGAGCTGGTCGGTAGCGGGTGCCGACGAGGGGGGGGACAAAGGAACGGCGGGAGAACGGCGAACTTCGAGGACGGCGCTTCGCCGGGCGCGGGCGGTCGGCTGGGAATTTCGGGTCATTCATCGGCGGCTGACGCCGTCCGGCCGCGTTCTCCCCTCCGTGCTCTGCGAGCGCATCTCGCCGGGTCACCCGATGGCAGCAGCTGGGCAGGGAGCTCGGTAGTGCTGCTGCGGTTGTGCGGCTCTTGGAACGGCGACGGGAGAGGCTGAGCGGTAGGTTTCTCTTTAAGTTTACGTTACTTTTTAAATGCCTTCATTTTGCTACTTATCCGCTTCTTTGGTAAAGAGGAAGGATCTCCTACGCGCTGATTTTTTGGCTTCTTGTTATGAATAAGACGTTTGCTGTGTTTCATTGCAACTACGGGCTGGTTATTACCAGAGAAGACACGATCGCAGAGGCGTCCGTCAGTGCTATGGTCTGCGAGTGCTGCCTCGCACCTGCGGCCAGGTATAAACTCACAGCTGTGCTTTATTGCCGAGGGCTTTTACTAGCGTTTCAAACAGCAACAAAGGTCTTCGAAGGGTGAAGAAGGCGTTTTATCGCGCGTCTCTGTGATGCGATCAGCGGGGAGGGGTGGGAAGGCTCGGAGCCGTGAAGCGCGCTGAGTTCCGCTGTAACGCGGCTCAGCCTAAGGACAGGTACGGTCTTTCCGAAGCCTTTTTCTGGGGGGACGAAGTTGTGCTGCAGCTCCTGCCTCGTTCTCTCCATCGGGCGGCTGCCCTCTGCTGTCTGAAACTGCCTTTCCAGTGCTGGAGTGCTGCTTGGGTACGGCAGGGAGGTGAGCAGGGCGGGCTGCAGGTAACTCCTTGCCTTATGCTGTCGGAGTGCACTGCTGGAATCTCTTTGCTTGTGCCAGTACCCCACAGGATGCTTCCAGCTTTCCCCTGCCGCCTAAATTAACCTGACGACTTTTAGATCCAAGAAGAACTATTTAAATTGAGATTACATTGACTGAAAAAGCTTCAGATGTCATTTAAGGGAGTTACTGTGGTGGGAAACAGATGACAGCAGACTGCATACGAATATGTGCCTTTAATAGTGAGATCAGTTAGCTGATGCACAATGCCAGTGCGATTTGTTCTGCTGGGGGCAGCTAGCAGGGTCCCCATGTCATAGGTTAGGGCAGCTAGCAGTTAGCTAATGCTGGTGTATATTATCTTTGTGGGGATGGAGAAGTGACACATATCACTGTCACTTTTTTTTTTTGTTATATTTTATTTCCCTAATCACTGTTACACAGCAAATACATTTGATATACATCAGTTGTTTCTTGTTATATTGCTTGATGACTGTCTAATTTGATAGATTGCAAAACACAGCCAGCATCCAGTGTTAATCTTTGCCGTAGAGCCAGTTTAATGATAACCTTTGCAGAAATATTATGATTGGAAAAGACCTCTATGATCGGCTAGTCCAACCCCAGCCTGCCCTCACCATGCCCACTGACCACATCCCTCAGAGCTGCATGTCCATGATTCATGAATACCTTCAGGGATGGTGATCACCACCTCCCTGGGCAGCCTGTGCCAGTATTCCCAACAATGAAGAAACCCAGGCCCAATATTTGAGCTGGATACCTTTGGACTTTATTGGTCTGCTGTGTCTGAAGTCTTCTTCAGTGACCCTTTAGGGTTGGAGCATTCCTCTGCACAGCACTTGAGGAAAGGCGTTTTCTTTTTTGTTCTTAGATAGCTGTGGTCGTCTCTTGCCTGATTTGCTTTAGTTTGCTTGGTTGAGGTATTTCAAGAATGATCCCACAGTTGTGATCAACGTAACCCCAGCAGGGTTTAAATATGTGTAAGCTCAACATAATTATGAAGTTTTGTTTGAATAATCTTTGTGTGAGGGAGATCCTGGCTGCCTTCTTGCCCAGGGTGCGCTGCCTCCTGCCGTGATTCAGCTGTATGGCTAATTTTCAAGTAAACTGAAGTTACACGTTTTCTTGACACAATACTAGTGCATGCTGTTCTCTGCAGCCCAAGGCGCTCTGCCTGGGGTTCATAAACACATTTACCTCCCTGTGCTCAGAGGGAGGTTGGTTTGCATCTCTAATTAATTAAGTTTGTGAAGGAATAAGTATGTTAACTGAAGATTCCGTCAGGAATTGTAGGCTTGCTTCATTAGCTGCTGTGGTGTAATTTGTACCATCCTTTCACACATAAGCTGAGGGGAGAGCAAATGCTACATGGAGCAGAAATCTTCCTCTGGTGTGAGCTGTGATGGGAAGCGAGCTGCCTGTGCAGCACTCTGCAGCCCCCTTCTGTTATGGTGCTTTTCTTTTTCCACCTGCCCGTTCCTGCTATCAGTGTTGACCTCTCAGGCTGGAACAGCAAACTGTGAGGTGGCTGAAGAACCTCTCGGTGGAGTCAGAGAGTAGGTGGCAGCTTTTTGAGAATTTCAGAGTGCTGTAATCTAGAGACTGTAAGGATGTGTGTTGTGTGCAGGAGTTACAGGATGTGGGGATTTATGCACAGTCTGAGTTTTCTTTATGCTGCATGAAGGCAAATTCTATGGCTTGTCACAGAAGTTAGGTGGCTCAACGTACTCAAGGGTTAAATGTTTCATGTGCTAACCTAGGATGCTTGTTTCAAGACACAAGTTAAAGCATTAGCTTTACGTTGAGAAGCTTGAAGAATTTTGTGGCATTTTTGCTGCATTCAAATCATTTGACTCTTATTTTACAATAGTTAGCAAACCATTGCTTAGCAAGGTAAATGAGTCTTGGAACAATTTGGGGTGAGTAACTGGGCTTTCTTTTGCTTTCCACAGAGTGGTGTTCAGAATGGCTGGCTTGTCCATTCTAATCCTCCTTTTGTGTGCTGCTAAAGATGTGATGCCCTCCGGTCCTCACTGGAAGCCCACTTGGCCCTCTTACAGAGTTCCAGTTATCCTGCCACAGTCTACCTTTAACTTGGACAAACCACAGTTTGATGCTGAAGCCAGACTGGAAGTGGCATCTCCATGTGGCCCAGAGTGCCACAAAAGTTCTCCGCTTCCAACTTATGAAGAAGTGAAGAACTACCTGTCCTATGAAACCTTGTATGCTAATGGTAGCCTCACTGAAACCGAAGTGGGCATATATATTCTGAGCAGCAGTGGTGATGAGTCTCGAGGCAGATCTCGAACTAAGAGGCAGATCTATGGCTATGACAGCAGGTTTAGCATTTTTGGGAAGGACTTCTTGTTGAATTACCCATTCTCCACATCAGTGAAGCTATCTACAGGTTGCACGGGGACACTAGTGGCTGAAAAGCATGTGCTTACTGCTGCTCATTGCATCCACGATGGCAAGAGTTATGTCAAAGGAGCTCAGAAACTGCGAGTGGGGTTCCTGAAGCCTAAAGTGAAAAATGGCAGCAAAGGGGCCAACATCACCGGCTCGGCAGTGCCTGAGAAAATGAAATTCCAGTGGATCCGGGTGAAACGGACACATGTCCCCAAAGGATGGATCAAAGGCAATGCCAATGATATCGGCATGGATTATGACTATGCCCTGCTGGAGCTCAAGAAGCCTCATAAAAGAAAGTTTATGAAGATAGGTGTAAGCCCACCAGCAAGACACTTGCCTGGAGGGAGAATTCACTTTTCTGGCTACGACAACGATCGACCAGGAAACCTGGTGTACCGTTTCTGTGATGTCAAAGATGAAACGTACGACCTGTTGTACCAGCAGTGTGATGCCCAACCAGGTGCCAGTGGGTCTGGGGTGTACGTGAGGATGTGGAAGAGGCAGAATCACAAATGGGAACGTAAAATTATTGGCATATTTTCAGGCCATCAGTGGGTGGACATGAATGGCACCCCGCAGGATTTCAATGTGGCTGTTCGCATCACACCCCTCAAATACGCACAGATCTGTTACTGGATCAAAGGCAACTATCTTGACTGCAGGGAAGGATAAAGATACAGAAACTCCTTGAAAGCACTTAATGACTGGTTTTAAATGAGGAAAGGCTAGACTTTCGCTGCAAATGTGTGTGATAGGGTTTTGTAATGTCAGAATGTGATATATGGCTTTTCAAGCGAGCTACCTTGTTGTTGGGACAGAGGCTACGTGGTGCTATCATAGCAGCTAGAAACTGGGGTGTAAAGGGGCATCTTCTGGGTGGGGGAAGGAGCAGGTGGACTTGCTGGGTTTGCAGCTGAGCAGCTGAAGATTAATTAGGGGCGGATCAGTAAACAGTACAAACTCAGAACCATCTCCAAAGAATCCTATAAAAGGGACGCTGTTGACTATCTCATGCCTACAGTGTTTGTTTTAATAAATCCTAGGATTAGTGGAAGTGCTTTGATCTGAACTTTTAAAAGAAAATATTTCTATGCTGTTGGGGGCTGAAGAGGGGCATTTAATGGTGTTTGCAACCCAAACATTACAGCTTTGTGTTCCTGCATGAGAAAGGGAGTGTGAAAAGGGCAAAGCATGCGTTGTGGGAGATGAATGCCACACAAATAGCATGAAGGGTAAATAACTGCATAACACTTGTAACCTTCTTTCAGCCTGAGTGATTCAAGACTGTATTAGTAACATAGTTAAGAAAAATGTTTTTCCAGCAGACGGACCTTGATGTTGTAAGGTCTTACCTTTGAAGATGGTGTTGGTCATAGGAGCAGAGCCATTGCATCCTGCTTTTGGAAATCATATCTGGGCTTAAATCTTTAAAGTAGCTGGGGCACAGCCTTACACCTGGTAAAATCCCTATGAAAGCATATGGGACTGATACATGTTTTCTGGTATGTCTTAATTTTTTATTTTTTTAATGGAAAATCTGATGTCAGCAACTCAGAGGAGAAGCCTGTCTTTACTCTTGGTGGCCATCTGAACTGCTGACTGTAAGGCAGACAAAGGATAGAGCAGGACAAGGGTTGCCCTGAAATTTCCACCCTTCTTGTTGAAGATCCATGCTATTCTACCTAAAAATAAGCATGGTAGAGGGACTCTAGATTTGTGTCTCTCTTTTGTATCCCTTTCACGTTGTACTCTGTAGAGCACTTTGACTTCTCTTTCTTGTGTTGTTTGAGTCAGGGACTCCCATCCCCAGATCTTTGAGTTACAAATAATTCTTGGCAAGTGCACTGTTCAGTAATTCTACAGCTGAAGTGGAGCCAAATTACAGGATGCAATATGAACTAGTTATGAAGTGATGCTCTACTGTCTCTTAAAGATATCAGCAACTTTTACTACAGCAGAATTTTAATTTAAAACAAAAAGTGCCTTGCATAGGTAAAATCAGTCCAGACAAACACTTGTGGCTTAGCAAACAGCACTGGGAGATCAGCGTGGTCTGTAGAGCTGTTTCTCAGGTGGCTTGTGCCACGCAGTTGACACATGCTGCCAAGACAATACTGTTTTTTTAAATAGGAGGATAGACGCTGGCTCCATTTCCAGTCTCAATTCCATCCATCTTCCACCATCTCCTAAAGCTCACCCAGTTGTTCTGTTGGAAGGTGTCATGGGGCAAAGCCACGTCTCTCGTGTGAGATGGCAGAGCAGGGAAGGAATGATTCTGAGCAGAGCTTCCCTGTGCTACAAGGAAAATGTTAATTCAGCTAAGCCTTTCTTTCACTCTTTTAATTACTAAGGCATTTGTAAACATATGCCTGATGGTGCTTTCTGTTTGTGATGGCTTCAGCTCTACTTCTGAAAGCCATTTCTTGCTAGAGCTGCCTATGATTATTACTTTTAGAGGTGCAGCATACAAAAACATGGATCCTCGTGGAGTTTGGTGCACTCAGATACAAGCAGTTACTAATGCTTTGAAATATGAATAATCGCCTCGTGTATCTGATGTCTTTTTCTCTGCCGTTTTATTTTAATTTCTTTACTCTATGGCTGTTATCTGGAGCACTTTTGTTTGAATGTATCACAGTGAATAAAAAGAAGTTATGGAATTTCAATGCAGATATTCTTGTATTTGTGCTATACTTGGGTTTTCTTTTCAATCCCATTTCACAAGTACTTATTTGTAAAGGCATTCAAGCACTTAGAAGTTGTATTTACATCCTCAGTGATGTTTATTTTCTTATAGTTTTCTTTTCTCTCCACCTGTTACATAAATATTTTTGTTTTCAGTGAGCTTAATTACTACTGTATGTTTTGGGGCAGTAATAATCAATCTTGGCTTTTGTGTGATTGTTGTGGTTCCAAAGCCAGTCATGACCCTGGATTAGTTAAAGCTGGAAATAACATATTAGACTGAAGAGTCACATTGTTTTTATTAACTTCAGGGGCAATAAACTTTGGAGGAATTTGAACCAGTCAATATGAAGACATAAATCAGGTCCATCTATTTCTTTCAGTTGATGCGGTAAGAAAAAAAATTCCTTTGAAGCCAACTGGGAGTCACTGCTTTTAGAGGAAACACCAGAGTGCAGAAATGTTCTAGTTTGTGATTTGGGAATTGCTACCCATACAATTTCCTTACCTCTGATCGTGGGCTTGAGTGCATTACTCCTGGTCTATGTTATGTATCTCCCATCTGCTGGGCCTATATTCTCAAGCGCTTGCTTGGGCTCTAGGCTGAGATCTTTTAGTTCTTTTGAGGTGTCTGGCAGAGTGCAGTTGTGCTGAAGGCCAATAAGCTAACGCAATAGGAGCAAGTTAGGATTTTGGTCTTTTTATAAAGTTGTGAGGCAAGTGCAGAGTAATCGAGGAGTTGTGTCTCTGTATTGTACGCCCAATAAGAATATTCCAGGTTGTTACTGGAAAGAAAATAAAATCTTGGATAATGTGAACAGACTTTTGGCTAATGCTCAAGACTGTTGCTCTTGTGCCCATGTGGGCTTATGCTAATTCAGCTGCAGATTTGTTTATAACTAGGTTGGGTCACTGCTAAGCAGTTTTGGAAACTGTTCTCTTTGCCTTGATGATGTAAAGGGGGCTCTTCCAAGACCAGATGTAAAAAAATGGTGAGGAAGATAATCACATAGCCAAAGTAGTTCATCAAGGAAGCACGTGGAACTAAATCATACACAGGCATGGCACTAGAAATGTAGTTGTCCAGGTTATCATCACTGTTGCTGATCTGCAGATCTGAATTGAGTGCCTCATAATGGTTGTACTTTATATCCATCTGCTGCTCTGCCTTAGAGAGGCTGTTCTGGGTGTGAATGGGAATGATTATAATCTTCTGTTCCTGCATCTTGAAGAGACTGACACAAGATAGATTCTGGTTATTACAATATAAACCCTCAGAGAGCAGTGCTGGAGATGGCAGCTAAGGGCTCGAGAAGACACAGAACGCGCTGAGCTCCTCCAGAGCACAGCAGTGAGCATGGTTCACTGGAGGCTGCAGAATATCATCACGTTCCTTTCTCAGAGGAAAGGTATTTTCCTTGCATCTGTAATTGTTTTGCAACCGAATTCCCAGGCCTGCCTGTTTAGAGGGCAGCCCTCGTCTTAAAGATGCATGCTGAACTCCAAGCAAGTATAATACATGCTTGAAATTCTTTTCCGTGTTTCCACTTAATCTGCTATTTGTTAGCCGGGTTTGGTAGAGCGCCAGCCCAATGTGCACAGCCCTTCAGAGGGGAGGCTTTCAAAGAGTGGATCAACTATGACGGGTGGGTAGAAATCGCTCTGCTTTCTCATAATGAAAAGGAAGCAGAGAAGACTTATAGTGAATCAGTTGCTGTGGGTATGTGCACATACAGGGCTGTGCACAGCTACTGGTTTGGTGTATAATGGTGTTCATTTCCATTCCCTGTTCTGCTAGGTGTAGAATAAAAACATCCAAGCTGAATTATGTTAAGCTTCTTAAAATGAGTGTGTAATTGCTAATCTGTGTGGCGCTTACATGTGAAAGATGTAGACTGTGACCCATCTGTAGGTACACAGGAAAAGCATAAATGTCAGTGATGAGAGTTAGGAATTCCATCTTTTCTAATTTCTGGATGCTTTTTTCCTGCCTGACGTGGTGGCAATTTGGTAGTGTGTGGTTTGTGTCTGCTCTTAGAACTAGTCTGGGCTCTTACAGGTAGATGGCTTAACAGTGCTGGAAGAGGAACAACAACTGGAAGAGAAACATCGTAGCATACCCTGAACATCATTATCAACACTGATTATTCCCAAGATAAAATGGAGTATTAGCACATACAGTGAAATATCTGATGCCTGTTAGCTGATGGTTGCTTGTTCTCAATTTCTTCAGTTTTGGAAATCGCTGTTCATGCTGATGTGGCAAGGAGAGAGTGTTCTGCTGATGACCCTGACCATCTCCAATACAAAAAGTGTCATTGTAATATCTTAGAATGGTTTAACTTGGAAAGGACCTTTAAGATCATGTAGTTCCAACCGCCTGCTAATACCAGACCAGGCTGCTCACAACCTCCATCCAGCCTGGCCTTGAATGCTTCCAAGGAGGGGGCATCCACAGCCTCACTGGGCAACCTGTTCCAGTGTCTCACCACCCTCACAGAAAAGAATTTATTCCGAAATATTGGTCTATGATAGGTGTGTGCAGGTTGTCAGCTATTAATTGCAGTGATAGCAACGGTAAAGTACAATACAATTGTCCATCTTATCCTGCAGAATCTCCTATACGTGCTTTATGCTGTGTTATCATGGATTTGGTGATTTTTTCCACAGCCTCCATAGAAAAAGAACTTGCTTTAGTGATGACTTGGATTTTTCTTGACATCTGCTATCAGCAATGCAGGTGTATTTGCTGCTGTGGGCAGCTCAGAAGAGGACAAAAATGTTCATCTCTGCAGATGTTCATAAAGGTTTGTATTAAGTCCTGCTTCTGAACTGAATTTAAATTACCTTGCCTTCATACAGAAGGGGATAGGTTTAAATGGGGTTGTTTAGTTTGTTTTAAGGCTGTGCTAGCTGGGTAACAGTTCCTACTGCCTCCATCTTTCTCCTTCTGTTCCTTGGAAAAGAACACTTCTCTTGATGGAAAAGAATGGTAATCCTTAAAAATGAGATGTAAAAAAGATGATGCCATGACTACTCAACTGCAGCCATCGTGTTTCTCTTGTCCATGATTTGTGTTTTACTGACTTCCTGCAGTGTTGTTCACTCTGAATGGAGCAGCTGGGGGCTTGTTTCAGTGTTGGTGGGGGGATGAGGATGCAACAGGCACCAACACAGTGAGCTGAGTGTGGGAGCAGGGACTACAGAAACAGGTGGGACCACTGGGGCTTTCTGTCCCCATGGTCTCACAAAAGTTTCAGTCACTGAAGAAGCGTGGGGTGGAAGAAAATGTCACACTGGGCTCAATGCTGCACCCTCCAAAGCATGCTATTGTGTTCAGTGGGAGCGGATCCCTGCGCAAAGGGACTCACCAAAATGTCACCAGTGTGGGAGCGCGGCTCGGCAGCCAGCCCTCTGAGGGGTCTTTGTGGGCGATGAAAGAGCAGGGAAGGCTTTCCCAGCCTGTGTGGGTGGTGAGAGTCAACCTTTTGTGCTTGTGGGGGCATTCCAGATGTGTGGATATCTCTGAAAAACTTTCCTGAACTACAGAGTGGGAGAGCTTTGCAGGTGGAGGGCTGCAGCTTTGCTCAGTGAGTGAGCTCAGAGATGTTTTTAACTACAGCTGAGTGGGGGTTTGGCCACCTTCTGACCTTTCTTGTTGAACTTTGCAATATCTCCATCCAATGGGAAGTCATTCTTTAATAGATCCTGCATCAAAAGATGCGTGGCCAGCAGGGTGAGGGAGGTGATCGTGCTCCTGTGCTCTGTGCTGAGAACTCATCTGGAGTACTGCATCCAGGTGTGGAGTCTTCAGCATAGGAGAGAAGTAGACATGTTGGAGAGGAAGACTACAAAAATGATCTAAGGGATAAAACATCTCTCCTATGAAGACAGGCTGAGAGAGCGAGTCTACAAGAAAGAAGGGTACAGACTCTGTAGCAGGGTCTGTTGTGATAGGACAAAGGGAAATGGTTTCAAATTAGAGGAGGAGAGATTTAGATTTGATATAAAGAAGAAGCCTTTTACGATAAAGGCAGTGAGGTACTGGCACAGGTTGCCCAGAGAGGTGGTGGATGCCTCATCCCTGGAGACACTCAAGGTCAGGCTGGACAGGGCTCCGAGCACCTGATGGAGCTGTAGGTGTCCCTCTTAATTGCAAGGAGTTGTGCTAGATGGCCTTTAAGGATCCCTTCCAACTCAAAGAATTCTACGATTTTATGAATTGTGGAATTGTAGAATATCCTGAGTTGGAAGGTTATGGTCGTTGAGTACAACTTCTGGCTCCACAGAGGACCACTCAAAATCCAAACCCAATGTCTGAGAGCGGTGTCCCAGCACTACTTGAGCTCTGGCAGCATGGGGCTGTGCCCACTGCCCTGGGCAGTCTGTTCCATGCCCACTGCCCTCTGGTGAAGAACCTTTCCTAAGTCCTCTGACCCTTGCTTAACTCAATTCCATTCCTGTGAAGTGTATCTGCAGTTACCTGCGTCAGAAAGTCACAATTCCCAGTCTTTATCACAGAACCAGGCTTCCTGTCTCCTTGTTTGGACCTGAGCTCATTGTGACAGCATGGTCCCCTTTAGAGTGAACAGTCATAGGGTTTGTATAATTGAGTATTTTTAGACTATTTTTCAGTAATTGGATCCCTCAGTTCTTCCTGTGTGATATTTATTCTGCTGCTCCCCCCCCCAGCCTTTAGTCATCACTGAATTTCAGCAATGTGGCTCCTCATGCACAAATGAGACTGGTAAATGTATTTAGTGAAGATTGGGTAAGAATGATGCTTGAGAAGCTGCCTGCAACCTCCCTCCCCGACAGTTCTTCTTTCAGCACCTTTTGTTTTCACTCCAGCCAGGCTCTCTTTTACTAACAATTCACTCTATGGCACCAATTCAATTGCTTTGCTGAAACCCAGTTAGATTCACCAAAAACAGTTATAGAAATTAAATCATTGCTTGAGCAATGCTAAGAATCTGCAATA